GCTGACTGAAAAGTCGAAAATAAAACTCACCGATGAGAAATTTTCAGTGCGGCGGCTCTGCCGGCTCACATTCGCAGTTGAGTATTTTCTTCGGTCAATCTTTTTTGGCAATCGGAGGTGGCTTCGGCGCAACAGCGGACGACGATTGGCTCACTTCTCCGGCAACTGGTTCTTCTTCTCTGGCGGGACGCTGACGGCTAGGGTTAGGATATGGTGTGAAGTGAGATATTTATACACGTATTCCTTTAATCTGGGCTGTTCATCGCGTTTGATCTCGACCGTCCGATCGCGTTTAAAGAGAAAATGAATATGGACTATTCGATCGCGTTTAAAGATAGAACGAATCTGAACCATTCATCGCATTTAATCGCAACCATCCGATCGCGCCTGATGAGAGAACGGATCCGGACCGTCCATGCACGCAGAAACAAATCCGGACTGTCCAATTGCGGGCACACAGATTGCCAGCATGATCTCCCGCGTGGCACCGAATCAGCTTGCCTTACCACGCGACGCGCTCCAGTTCGTCAGGACTACTGACTAGGTGGTTCTACATGACATATTTTTTTTAAATTACCTTTTGACCTCCAGTTTTCGATTTTTCTTTAAAAAATACTCCACGAACCCAAATGTTTACCTATTTTTCCTAAAATTATTTTCAATTTCATCCTCCATCTATTTTTTTTCCTAATTTTACATTAAATAAAAGTTTACAAATTTAAAATTTATATTTTTTTATATATTAATTTAATTTTTTAAAATTAATCCCGAACTAAATTTCGGATCCGACTCTTACAACTTCAACATATAAATGTACATATGATATCCAGGAAATCATACACTATACATGGGATTTTGTCCTATTTTAACATTTGAATCTCTAAAACTTGTACTCTAATCAAGTAATGAGAATCTCAAATTTATAAATCAAAACCAAAATCTTTACAACTAAATCTTATTTATAGAGAAAATTCATTTCATTTTATGAATCAAGACTAAATGGAAAGCTTTGGACAAACTAGAAGTCCTAAACTAATAGGAATTTGAGACAACCTTGACACCATTGATTTCTAGAAAAAAGTCACACTTATGAAGCATTCTCAACCCTAAAGGTGTTTAACTAAAACAAGAAAATATACTTCTCAAGTTAATAGAAAGTAAAATCAGCAGTTAGAAAAGTCAAGCTCTCCAATCAGCACTACAGTTAAAAAGTTATTGTAATTAGTTAAAGCAGTTTGGTTAGCTAGTAGTTAATTTTTATTTGTGTAACTAATCAAGATTAGATATTGTATATAAATACTTAACCCATCTCATTAAATGCAGAATAGTTCATTCTTCTTTCCCAATATGATGCTCTTATTTTTCCTGATTCTTCATCTCTCAATTAATATGCATGAGAAATCTCTCAATATTGAAGTGATTTCAGAGCTTAATATGGTATCAGAGTTGGATTGAGTCTTCTGATTCGTTAATTTTACACAACTTCCTTGGGAAACAGGAAGAAACAAAAGGAGAAAAATCGTAGGTTTACAGTTCGTCAAGATTCAAACGGAAGAAGAAAAAATCCAAGATTTTCACTCATCCACACATGTCATTCAGCATGAGTACTTCATCTGCTGCATCAGATTCGCCAATAATGGAAGAGATATATGCTAATCCATACTA